TCTGCACAGATAAATGGGGATTAGCCATATCGTAATAACCCTAAATCCTCATGAAAATCTAGAAACTGATTTAATTATGAATGTGCCCTGCCCACAAGAGGCCCTAGGGCTGGGTACGTGGGGTTGAAGAGAATTCACACTCAGGCTCACCGTGGTTTTCACCAGGAGCCTTGTTCGTGCCTTGCCCATGGTCTATGTCCACGTGACCCTTCTTGCACAGGAGCCCCTTTCCTAGTAACGAGAGCTGTCGTATTCCCTCCTGTGCTTCCAAGTCCTTAAACATGCACACGTCCCTCTACCTTGTTGGATAGCAGCCTTCTTCGTGTCTAGTTTTTGTTTTCATTTTACTATCTCAACTTTCAAAAAGGAATCCAGCCCGTGGTTTCTCGATTCAGGTATAATTTACACAATTTTAGCCTTTGGTTATGCCATCAACTTGACACCGACAAATGGTAACACGTCATGACTTATTTCTCACTTGAGAACTCACTGTAAGTAGTGTGTGCCTTCTTTTGCTCAGATATTCTGAGAAACAAGTGTGGTTTTTTTTTCACTGTAATACAAAACATGAGAGGAGACACTCGTTATTTTGTGCTCTCTTCAAAAATGGAATTTAAAAAAAAACACTTCCTGTTTGCTCTCAATGTCCTTTTTCTCCCCTCATTAGAGAGCTGACTGGTAACCATTGTGTTTTCTCTCCAGTGGCATGAGGAAGTCCTTTGTTTAGAAGGATGTGCCTTGAATTTCAATAGCCAGCTTCACACTTAGTCCCCTTGAAACTGTAACTCCCCTTACAGGTACCGGTGGCTCCGTGCTGGGGGGCAGGAGCTGGGAGGTGGGAAGGGGACTCGCTTTGAAAAGTAAGGGGCACACTGGGTCAGAGACGGAAGGGTGTTTCTGTCACAGCTGTCGGGTCCTGGGAAGGACAGAACCTTTTCCCTGAGCTGAATTTTCTGAAACTCACCAGACACCAGATGGTAAATTTGCATAAAATAAGAATTCAGTTCAAGTCACAGGACTTTCCCCTGCAGGGTTTGGATGCTAACAGAGTCTGTGAATGAGTTTCAGGGACTATTGAACCTTTGCCCGCACCCACCTAAGAGTCTGCATAAAATTGTGTAAAACATTTTCTTTCTGGAGTGTTTTCGTCAGATTCCAAAAGGTTCTATGATGCAAAACAGGTTAGGAACCTTCCTCTTGGCAGAGGTCCGCCTTCTCACCGCAGCCGGCTACCACGCTATGCGCGGTCAGGCTGCCGGAGATTGTGTGGGTGGATGAGTGATCTCCACGGCACCTTAGGGGGTGAGGACCACTGTTCTTCCCATTTTACAGATGAGGAAACTGGGGAACACCGAGGTGGAGGGCCTTGGCAAAGGACAAACATCTATGTCAGGGACAAAAAACAATTACACTTGAAGCTAGGGTGAAAAATAAACTGTTAGGTTCAGGATTGGGCCAGGGAGATTTCATGACTTAAAGTTTTGTAGTTTTTACTTCGTTGGCGCGTGGAGAATGCTGGCCTGTGCTGGTGCTCAGAAGACCCCCAGCGATGAAAGGAGAGCATCTGAAAGTAGCGCGGTGCAGAGAGTTCTGCAAAATCGGGGCGAGAAGTACACTGGCAGGCCTGCTTCCCGTGCTCAGTGTGCGTGAAGCTGGCAGTTGTGTGGTTGTGTGCTGCATAAGAAGCAGGTGGCTGGGCCAGGGGTTAGGAAATGCCTCCTCTTCCAAAAAGCCGGAACAGACATTGTCATTCCGATGTGCTATTCATTTTGAGGAATTTCCTATTCGTTTGGGTGCCCAGTTACACAAGCCAAATACTTATGTTACTTCAGGCTGATTTTAACGAAGACAATGCCAATTACTCCCACATTGATTTTTCCCAAGAAACCGCCGCCCAGCGCATGCTGGTCACGCAGCCCTGGGTGTGCGGCCGGTGTGGGATGACTCCTGGGCTTTCATTCTCCCCACTGGTGTCTTGTACAGCAAGAAGAGAGTGAACTGGTGCATGACTCTAAATTTAGCCTTGTACACTCTCAGAATGGTATGTCTCGGGCAGAAGCCCAGCCGTGAGCCGGTGTTTTTTTTTTTCCCCCAGCAAATTTATAATGTGTCAAATTGGCAGAGCAGCTGCCATTGTGACTCTTCTGAATTTTTTGAATGACATTTCAGAATCACTCTGCAGTCCCTGTGTATGTCTGGCTTTCACTGCAACACTTAAATCAAGCAGTGTCTATTATCCCCCAAAGAATTAACCTTGTTAAAAATTTGCAATGTTGTTTTTTTCTAAGTTCTGCCCTAAGGGAAAAAAACACAGCAGCTACACGTGGATGTCATTTCCTTGAGTGCATCGCTAGCAATGGGCCCGGTAAACCATCGAAGGTTCCGACAATGAATGTGCACGAAACAGACGGATTGAGTTCTCCGGGCTCTCAATCTAAGGTTACTGGGCAGTGCTTTCACCATACCCAGGCATAAGCTTTTTATTCAAATAAAAGATTGAAAACATTTGGTATATATCAAAATCTGGTTAAAGAAACGCTTGCTGCCTTCTCCTCCTTCTTTGTATTGAGTCAAAGCACAGAACACATCTGTTTGTGACAAAAATCTGAGCACCTTGCAGTTCCTTGACCATCTAATCTGAGATGAGAACCCCCAGACTCCAAGAGGTTCAGTGATAATGTTTACTCAACAGTACACTAGAATCTAGGTCTTTGGATCCTTTGCTGCTGGTCTGAATTGGCTCCGAAGACTAACTTTGGGAGTGCGGCCATGGCCCAGCAGAGGGACATGAGCAGGAGGTGACCGGCCCTCACCCAGGGTCAGTGGGAACCAGCAAATCCAAGGAGAGGGCTGCAGGTCCCTCCCCAGGTGACATGTTATCTCAGATGCTGCCCAGCACGACCCAGCTGAGACATGAAACCCTCAGATGAGTAGGTGATGATAACTGTAATGACGCAGTTTTCGCACTTGGTCATGTGCCAGGGACTCTGTTACACACACTCTCTCTCTTAATGTAATTCTCACGACCGCCCTGAGCCAGGTGCCCTTGCCCCTCTTTCACGGACAAGGAGGCAGGTTCCAAGGGGCTCGCCGTCTAACGACGGCCGGGCACGTGGGAGGAGCCCAGGAAGAGGTGACGGTGAGTAACACCAGGGGAAGCACAGCTGCCCGCAGGATTCAAACACGGCTCTTTCTGCTTATCCTAAAGAGCCTCTCTTGGGAATTTTCAACCAAGTAAAGAAGGGGCCAAGACTCCCCACGTGGTCTAAAACCCCAGGTTTTTTGCTGTAGTCTATGCCCCTCTCTTGAATGCTTGTGCAGAACAGCCTTCTGGATCACTTGGGGGACAAACCACGAAATGGCTCTGCAGGACCATGCGTAAGTACGGGGTACCCCTCACAGGTACAGTCCAAGAAGACCAGAATTAGAGTCCTGCAGGGAGACCGTCAAATACCGACTCCACTGTGCGATAGCTGTGTGGCTACCATCAGGTTCCTCAGCCTCTCGGAACTTGTCTCCTGTTCTCTCCGTGAGAACAGTAGTGCTGACCTCGGCAGATGGCTGGCTGTTCGGGCAACACAGCCGGAAGGCAGGGCAGGGCAGCGGTCGAGAACGAGCCCGAGGCAATCCATGTGTCACACACAGTGATGGTGCGGTGCCTCGGGACAGGCGCTCCCCAGGGGTCTCCCTCACACATTGAGGCAGGTGGTTACCTGTTTGTGTTAGAAGGTCACATACGCTTACTGTGTACTATTCAAACAAATATATTGAATAAAGTCCTCCGCAGTCCCTCCTCCAGATAACAGTCGACAGTCTAGATGTTGTGTTATCCCAGACTTTTTTTACTGTGCATGTATGACACGGTCCAACTTCTTGGGTCTTTTAGATGAGACCGTGTATCTGTGACTTGGATTGCTCACCTTTCCGGTTTCCCCCACTTATAATAACACGCCGTGGTCACCGCGCTGTCCGAGGCACAGCTCTGCCTCTCGTCCCGATGACTGCGGCTCGCTGCTGGGCAAGCGTGCTCCCCGCCACCGTGGTTTGAGCTTTCATAGCTGCAGAGTCCTGCTCGCTGCTCTGTGGGCCGGGCCATGGGCACCTGGGAAAGCAGGTTTCCGTGAAAGTTGGTTTCTTCCTCGCCGCCTGTCACCCTGGCCCCACATCTGCAGTCCACTTGCTTTATGTATAATGCATGCGTGTGACTGACTGACTGGGGGCTCTGCCCTCATGCTCTTTCAACTGGGCTGTGACCAATCCAGGAGGGGATGGTAAGTGGTCAGGGTCAGACGGTTCAGTGGCTTCCTCAGGGTAGCCCTGGTGGCTCGGGGCAGCTCTGGGGATGGAACTCAAAGTGTTTGGCCCCAAACCACAAATTGCTGTCAGCATCTCACCACTTTCCGTTCCTCTCTTCCCAGGCTCATCTCTGTTTCTTCACCCATTAAGCTTTCATTTACTAGCCCACCTCTGCCCTTGACCTTCTGCTCTGTCTCGCTCCCTCCTGTTCCGTTGCCCTCTCACAATGCACTTCAGTGAAAGTACCTTGATTGCAATGTTGTAGCTCTATTCCTAGAATTTCAGGAGTGTTAGCAAAACGGGTAAGGGTGGGGGGGGGGTTGCACGTCATTACTTCCGTAGGTTTTTTATTGGGAGCAGGTGGAGCTGGAGCAGGATGATAAGTGCCCTGCCAGTGTTTACTGCCAACAGTTTCCTGTATTTGACTGCGATATTTTAAGCTCAATTACCTCCCCCGGCTGATATGTTGCCTCTGAACTCAGCTGGCATCTCTTGGCTTCATCGTAGCGTGGCTCCGAATACACACTTCTGTGTAAGAGTTCAGCTGAAATAAGCACCAGAAGGTTATTAATTGCAGCAAAGTTGGGGAATCGGGTGGGATGTCAGCGCTGAGTTGCTGCTAACGATTGTTTTCTTTACTGGATACCGTGTGAATCCTAACGTGTTGTGTTCTGCTCTGTTCCCTCATGCCTGCCCGGATTCAGAGAGAGGTAACCAACCGATTTTCACTTCTCCCCCTTCCTGGCGTCCTAAGTGTCTGGCACAGCTCACCCGCTTCCTTCACACCACATTCCCATCGTCACAGCCGTCATTGTCGTCGAAAGGCAGAACTTCATTCTGTTTAACCTTTCACCATCGTCATCCTTGTGTGTCCTACTTCTAAAAGAAAGTGTGGAAGTGCATCTGGGTCGCTAATCCTCTGTTGCGTGTGACCCTGTTTGGGAAGGTGGTGGGCAGCATGCGTGAGGACCTTGGTCACTCGCCGATGGCTGAGGAAAGTCTTCCCCGCATGCTTGGGAGGAAGCGTGATGGAAATACTCAGGTTATGTGCCCTGTCATGTAACGAGGCTTTTCATGCTCCTTGAAGGATTAAGATTAGGACTTACTTATGTTACACTTCTTCTAGAGTTGTATGGGTAAGGTTTAGCTGGAGACTAATAGTCAGAAGAACTGGCTCAATTTCCATCTCAAATACGAGCCAAAAATACGGGGTCTGGCACAAGTAACACCCCTTTCCATTACATAAAAACCTTTTATTACAAAACCGTAAACAGGTAATTCTGTAACCTAACAGCATCACACTCTAGCACACCACACAGCATTATTTTAGGTGGAATGTTCAAATTGCTGTCCACCTCGTGGGAGACACTCGCGTACTCCGCCAGCCACATGTCACGGCGTTCCTCCTGCTGGACCCTGTGTGTGGGATGCTGCGCCCTCCCCACGGCAGAGGACGAACTGTGGGAAGGCTGCTCTCAGGAACTGGGCGTCTTCCCACGGGGCGGCTGGGAGGCCTTAAGCTTCTCTGTTCCCCAGCTTTATCAGTTAATCAAAGCTCCGTTGTCCCATGTCTTTTAAATGTTTCAATCTCAGTTCACGCTGTTATTTTGTATTAGTTTCAAGTGTACAGCATCGTGGTTAGACAATCATGTACTCTACAAAGTGGTCCCCCTGCCACCACACGTAGTTATTGGAGTATTACTGACTATATTCTCTGTGCTGTACTTTACATCCCCATGACTATTCTGTAACTGCTGATTTGTACTTCTTATCCCTTCACCTCTCTCCATATTTTTATTTTTTTAAAGAGTTTATTATCTTTAGAGAGAAGGAAAGGGGGGGAGGGAGAGGGAGAAAAACAATTGGTTGCCTCTTGCATGCCCTGACCAGGGACGTGGCCCACAACCCAGGCATGTGCCTCAACTATGAATTGAACCAGTGACCTTTTGGGGTTCATGGGATGACACCCAACTCACTGAGCCATACCAGTCAGGGCTCACCTTTTTTTTTTTAAGATTTTATTTATTTTAGAGAGAGGGGAAAGAGAGGGAGAGAAGCATCCTTGTGCGAGAGAAACATCGGCGGTTGCCTCTCTCATGCCCCCCACTGGGGGCCTGGCCCGCAACCCAGGCATGTGCCCTGATCAGGAATTGAATCAGTGACCTTTTGGTTTGCAGGCCAGCACTCAGGCCACTGAGCCACACCAGCCAAGGCTCTCTCCATTTTTGATGGAAGAAGAAAGTTCTGAAATTTTTCTTCTTGAAAGAATGATCATGGTTGCTGCCTGGGGAAGTAGAGGGACACAGGCGGTCGCCTCTCTGTGCTAGAGCCGCAGTCTCAGGCGGCACCCGGCCAGGGCTGAGCCTCCGCAGCTCGTGCCCGTCTTCCTCCCGGAGGATGAGCTGCCGTCTCTGCTCCGTGCTGGGGAGGGCACGGGAAACGACATGGACTGGGTGGGGAACCCTGCCAGGGACAGTCTCCCAGAGGGGATGATAAAGAGAAATTGCGAGCTGGACCCCTGGAGGCAGTGGAAGGAAGGTTCTGGAGGGTGAGGGCTGTACTTTTGGGTGTGAGCTCCCTCATCTAAAGTGACAAGTCCTGTGTGAGCCTACGGTGAGGACGTTTTCAGATGTTTGCTAGTTCCTACCCTCTGGTCTTCGACCAGAAGCGGCTGCTCTGAATAGGAACCTGAGCAGGACTTTTCGAGAGGGACAAGTGCTGTTTGCCCACGCCACCTGGATATTTGTTCGTGGCAGAATTTCAGATCTGCTGTTGACACAGCCTGTGGTCTCACGGCAGTGCCTGGTGAATGAATGAGTTTACCCAGGTGGCAAGTTCCTGGGATGCACCTTTTAGAGTTTATGAACTCGGCAGCTTCTTAAACTTGCAAGGATGGAAAAACAAAGTTGTGTTAACCAGGCTCGAGCCTGACCTTTGTGCTGTTAGCGATGCTCACAGGTGGTGCCTATGGCAGTGAGTGGGTAGCATTAAAAACAGTCGTGTGGGGGATGTGTGTGTGAGACGGTCTGGAGAGGCCATCTAGGAAGACGACATTTCTCACCCCCTTTCTCTTCCCTCCCCTACCCCCAAAACAGGGTTTTCAGGGTACAACCAGAAAATCGGGGCAGTTAGGCAGAGAAGAGCAGGCCGTCTTGCAACAGGACTCCTCCCTCCAGGCCCCGTGCAGGTGGAGCAGAGGGGAGAGGGAGCCCTTATCACCGAGAGCGAGAAGGGGGGTGTTTGGGTCGAATCTCTTTGCTGGAGTTTCGTCCTTATTTAAGTGCAGGTGGGGCCTGCCCTCCGCAGCAGTAACAGCTCTGTGCTTTAAAGCCTCTGCAGAAAGGTAAGCTAGGAGGAGAGAGCCTTTAGTACATTTTAGCCGGTCTTATTAAATTCCTATGAGTGTAAATGGTTATGAAAATATCCCTCATGGATAAGGAAACAGTATTTCCAAGTAGCCTTCTTCTTTAACTTCTTTTACTGCATTTATAATAACAACCACTAATCGAATGCCTGCCATGTGCCCGCCTTCACGAGTTCCCAGCTTCAGATATAATTGTGTTTGACCAGAGCAAGCTGGGGTTCTGTGAAAGACAGTATGAAACTGGAGAGCTGGGGGGTGAGGGACACTAGTGGGGGTGGGGTGGGGGGGACCGACGGAACGAAAGGGGAGGGGTGGCGCCAGGCAGCCCCGGGCTGCCACAGCACTGGCTCGGTCAGCCCATCCTGGGCCGGTCCGAAACGCAGAGCTCCATCCCACAGTAAAGGCTGCAGGGAGGCAGGTTTCAGCTCATTATTTAGAAAAAATTTATATTCCAGTTCGCCAGGAACATTCCAGCAACAAGAAACAGGCTGATCGATGAAGTAAGATTCCATGTTACTGAAATGGACTAGGTGCCTCCCACCTGTCCGGGCCGCTGCACACGGGACTTTGAAATGTCAGCCTAGGTAACCAGGAAGAAGTCTGTAGATGCCTTTTGAAACCTGTTTGAAATCCTTTAGAAGAGAACAGATACATAAGCAAATTCTGTTTACGTAAGAGAATTGTGAGGGAGAGATTTGGGGAAAGAGGTAGTAGATTCGTCTTGGCTGTTTTTCAATAAAGCCCATTTGAATACAGAGTTGTTAATTCACTCCACAAAGGTGCATTAAGCCTGTACGGAGTGATCAAAATGCTGTTCAGCTGAGAACAATGAAGCCACCTTTTGTGCTTTTCCTTTGCCATTAAGAAACTTGAGGCTGTCATGTAAGATGTCTCAGCACTGACATTTTTCCCCAGCAGAACTGGAGGCGGGTCCTCTGGGGGAATAATTACCGGGTGAGCAGGGGGAGGAGAGGAACAAAAGGAGTTGGAGACTCAAGGGCTCAGTGAACGAAGGGTGAAAGGTAGTCGATCCCGGTGCTCGCATCTCGCATCTCATGTAGTTCATGGAAGAGACGCAAGAAACTACAGCTCTCCACCTTCCACTTCCTGTTTTGTTTTGTTTCCTGTTTCTTTTTTAAGATTTTATTTATATATTTATTTATTTATTTATTTTAGAGAGGGAAGGGAGGAAGATAGAGAGAGAGAGGAACATCAATGTGCGGTTGCTGGGGGTCATGGCCTGCAACCTAGGCATGTACCCTGACTAGGAATCGAACCTGCGACACTTTGGTTCGCAGCCCGCACTCAATCCACTGAGCTACACCAGCCAGGTTGTTTTGTTTTCTTTTTAAGATTTTCTTTATTTATTTTTAGACAAAGGGGAAGGGAGAGAGAAGAGGGAGAGAAACATCAGTGTGTGGTTGCCTTTCACGTGCCCCCCCCACTGGGGACCTGGCCCAGAACCCAGGCATGTGCTCTGACTGGGAATCAAACCTGTGACCCTTTGGTTCACAGGCCACTGCTCATTCCACTGAGCCACACCAGCCAGGGTTTTTCTTTTCTTTTTTTTAATTCAGTGATTCCCATGACTGTAAGAAATCAGTGGGGCAAAACTCCATGCATGGGGAGCAGGGGACCAGTTCCTGGCCCAGCATCGTAAATGGAACGAGCTAGAGCGAAGGACAAAAATGGTTCTGGCTGCTGAGCGTCAGAAGACAGACATCTGGAAGAATTTACCAGAAAAGAGGGGACCTGAGGCCCGGAGGCGCATGGTGCATGACTGCTGGCTGCCTGGTCATTGTGTAGAAGCCCATCAGGGCCCAGCTCAGCTCTCCGAGATGGAACACTCTCTGTGGGGAGGGGACCAGGGAGCTGCAGCCCAGCTGCCACTGGCAGCTCTGAGGAAAGGCGCGGGGCAGGGGGGCAGGTGCAGCCTCCAGATGTGCCCCTGCCGAGGCTGACCCACACCCTCACGCAGTGTCAGAGCCACTGCGGGCCCTGCCTGGCTGTGCGCTGTGCAACGCCTGGTGCCTTTGTCTCCCCAGCCCACACGGCTCGTGCTGCACTGATGGTGGCAGTGTGGGTTTGCCCGCGTCTGTCAAGAAATCTCCAGCTTCACAGGGTTGTTCATCCTAAAGCAGTTTCGTGTTCCCCTCGGAGTACAGGGAAATTCCTAGACAACATGAAGCTACTGTTACACGTGGGCAAAGAGTGTATGGTCATTTAGGATCATAACACCGGCAAGAAAAAACGTCTATCTGAAAGGCTGAGTTAGGCAACATGTTGATCGTTGTTGAAGCTGGATGGCAGGACGTGGGAGTTCACCGGTGATCCTTTCTACTCTTG